TGCAGTGCTTTCAAATTGAATAACTTCATAGCCAGCAATATAAGTCAGGTATAATTCGGGTCAGCAAAAGAGTAAATGAAGTTCAACATAAAAGTAATGCGGAAAGAGGCATACGAATAGATAGTTATAATGACAAAAAGAGGTTTAGTATCAACGAATAACAGATCATGTGGACAAGATGTTGGACGAAAAGTAAACTTTTATAAATTGTGAAAGATTTTTGATTTATTTTTATTATAAAGGTCTCTTTAGCATTACACAGCTTACTTCCTTTATTATTAACCAACATTTAATAACTTATACAAAAATAGAAATGGAAATTATTTATACTGAATAAAGAGAGAAATGATCTATATACAAATTCGGGAAGGGGTAAAACTAATATGTAGGGAAATTTGAATCTCTAATATCACAAATTTCGAATTTGTGACATACTTCTCCTCTTATATTTGGATCTCTTCTTGTCTTTAAGTTTTACCAAATTAGATATCAAGGTCAAACTGACTTTACACCTAAAGATCGAATATTAGGGTATCATTTCACAAGAATAAGTATAAGAAAACTCGTTTGGTTAGATTTATCATTATCGTTCATTGATTTTAGTTTAATTCTCTTAACTCTATTTATTTTTATCCTTATTGTGCTGATATTTTTGTGATTTGATTTTTACGATATAGACTTCTGGTGTTTTTTCTTTTGTTTCACTTCTACTTCAGCAGTCCCTAGTCTTACTTGAATGAGGGTGGCATCAAGATCTTGGAATCACTCAGGCACAAATTCTTTCCTCTTTGCTTTGCTTGGATTAAATTTGATTACACCTTTAAATATATCGACCTTTTCAATCCAAGCTTCGCAGACTTTTTCCAACTCTTTTGCCGAGAAATATCTATTTCTAAGATAATCTTGTCCATTAGAATCTTCTTTATCAAGATAACAATTACCAACCATATGTATTCCGTTCATGTTACCTAACTCAGCTGACTTGTGATGACTTACTCTTATTCACTTTAACTCTTATTCTGTCTCGATAATAGTCTCTAACATCAAATATTCCTTTGGCAAGTTCTCTTACCTCCTTGATAACGGTTCGGGATTTAATCAACCTTTCTCATCCATCGTTCATAGGCACAATTTAAAGTTTCTTTCTCAAGAGATCTATCATTATCTCATCCCTTGTTACTCTTTTCACGTTCTCGAACTAACATTTATGATCAGTTTTACCCATTAGTGTCAGCATCTCAGCGGTTATGGTGTGGATCGTTAGAATAAACCTTTGACTTTGCTCTTGGTATTTTTTTTTCGGCGGTTTTTTTTTTACAAAATATTCTTTTTTTTTTTTATTAGCATACTAACTTCTTTCTTTTTTTTCTTTTAGGTTTCTAGATTCTTTCTCATTGCTT